TCCCAAGCTTACAAGCATCACAAAAAGGAAAAGTAGTAGGAGTCTTGAAATTCAGACTATTAAGAACAACTCTTAGGACATTATCACAGGGATATCCAAGTTTCCTATGCCAACTAGTAAGAGAATCCACAGTTATTACATTTGCCATAGGCAAAGAAGTAGTAGTAAAATAACATGACTGTGAAGAAGAATGTTGCAGAGGAGAAGATGTGAAGGCAGATGACTTGGTAAGATCAAGTTGATACAAGCCATCCTTAAGTTGGCCTTCCAACAGAACTTGGTGAGTGTTTTTGTCCTTCACAAGACAGAAATCATAGTGGAATTCAATAAGCACATTATTATCTTTGGTAAGTTGTGAAATACTGAGCAGATTCTTTGTAATATTGGGAACAAGAAGAAGGCTGTTGAGCAAAATAGGAAAAGAATGTGAAGTTGGGAGAGAGGAAGAACTAATATGAGAAATAGGAATGGTGGAGCCATTACCTACTGTGACCTTGTCAAATCCTTGATAAATTTGTGTTTTTATTAAATTTATCGTGGAGCCATTACCTACTGCAACCAATATGACGATTACATTTAAAAGTTATCTTTTTATTAAATTTATGTTTAAAATTCAAAATTTTTCATTAGTTTAATAGAAGAGGAAGCACATGTATGCTAAATTATATAAATGTATTAGTACCTAAACATAATTTTTAATGATATTACAAGCTATAGTTAAATAAAAATAAATAAATGAATAATTTTGTGCTAAAAATCCAAAAACGAAATAAATCAGTTTTTCAGTGCTAACAAAGTCTCATTTATATGTCATCTATTCATTAATGTTGTCTTCAGCATGGTTGAAATCATGATAATTGTTGTCGTTATTTTTATTGATGTGATATTTTATATATCTTCTTGTTATTGTTTGTAGCAATTGCATTTAACTGTTAATTCAATATTAATGTCGTTCGGATGTTTTTATTATTATTATTATTATTATTATTATTATTATTATTATTATTGTTGTTGTTGTTGTTGTTGTTGTTGTTGTTGTTGTTGTAATTGATTTACGCCAATAATTGTTATTATTATTATTATATTAATTGCAGACGTTTTTATTATAATAATAATATGTAAACAAAAAATTTTGACTAACAAAAAGATTGAAGACGTTTTTATTATTATTATTATTATAGTTTGATACAATTTCTATCAATGTAGTATATTAAGCTTTCCCAATTGCATCATGGCCCCAGGTATAATAATATTGTTAATACTCGTTACGTTTTCTTTTATTATTTTTTGCTTTCACTCTTTTATTAGTTTTTTCTTTCAAATAAGAGGATTACTTGGAATTCGTTGTGAATGTAGCTTTTCGAGTTTCTAACAATGAAGCAGAGTATGAAGCTCTGTTGCAGAAAATACAACTCGTCTTGAAAGAGGGAGCTCGACGCGTAACTTTCCACCTTTATGGAGTTGCCGAGCAGCGCCCTGGATAGAGTTCTGGAAATCAACAAGAAGAAGGACAGGAGGTCACCATTGATTAAATGGTTGCAGGAACCGATAGGGAAGGATGTCAGACACGATCCAGTACGACGACGAGCTATGAGGTTCTAAGTGCAGAATGGGATGTTGTACAAGAGGTCCTACACGGGACCACACCTAAGGTGTATTTCGGAAAAGAAAGGCATGTACGTGCTGAAGGAAATCCATGAAGGATGTTGCGGAGATCATCTGAAGGCTAGATCCTTGGCCGCGAAAGTGTTGCGAGCGGGGTATTTCTAGCTCACGATGAAGGCAATGGCGCAAGAGTTGGTACGCAAATGCCTGAATTGCCAACAACACGACCCGCTCATCCACCGACCTGCGGAGGGGATGGTATCGATAAGCTCGTCGTTCCCTTTTGCCCAATGAGGAATAGATATTGTGGGGCCACTGCCCATGGCAACAGGCTAGCGCAAGTTTTTGGTGGTTGCGATGAATTATTTCTCGAAGTGGATAGAAGTTGAGTTGTTCGCCAAAATTACTGAAGAAAGAGTGATCAAGTTTTTGTTTGCTAACATTTGTTATCGGTACGGTATCCCGCGAGTACACATATACGATAATGGAACCCAGTTCAGAGGTTGGCGAGTGATGAGTTGGTGTGAAGATATGGGGGTTAAACAGCATTTTGCTTCAGTCGTCCATCCGCAAGCAAATGGGTAGGCCGAGGTGGCCAATAGGTCAATCTTGAATGGGATAAAGGCAAGGTTGGACAAGGTTTCGGGAGCCTGATTGACAGGCTAGACTCGATCCTCTGGGCATGTAGAACAACGCCGAGGACCTAGACGGGGGAAACCCTATTCAGCTTGGTTTACGGGATGGAGATTCCAGTTGAGGTTGGATGTAGCTCGGCGAGAGTCGAGGCATACGCAGAGGAAGCAAACGTGGAGCTTCAGCGTGAGGCGCTTGATTTCATTGACGAGTTGCGCGACCACACCAAGATAAGGACATCGACCTATAAACAACGGATGAAGGTGGCTCAAGATAGGTCGGTAAAGGCTCAGAATTTCCATGTAGGGGACCTGGTTTGGCGCCAGGCCGATACTCACAAGCACGTTGGAAAGCTAGAGCCCAATTAAGAAGGACCTTACAAGGTGGAGAGAGTTCTGACACGCGGGGCTTACGAGTTATGTGATATAGAAGGACGGCTATTACTGAGTCGACCTTGGAATATATTACATTTAAAAAAGTATTACGTATAGTTAAGGTTCGAATTGTCGCATTTACATTTCGTTTCCTTGTAAATAAAGCAATGAAACAATAGGCATTTACATCTCTGCAGGTGTGGGGCCCCCGGGCTTTAAGGGTAAATTGTTGTAAGTCATTGTTTCTCAGTGATAAAATGTTAATATAAATTTTAACACAATTGGCCAGATATCTCATAAAAAAACTATCCTTTACAAAATAGGTCGAGAGCCCATAAATTGAGATAATTGGTTGCCACTTGTGATCAAACTAATCACACAAGCAACACAAATATTATTTAAACCCATTAATAAGTGTGACAGTTTTTATGGCAAATTGGTTATCACAAAAATAATATTTGATCAGTTATCTTTTATTTTGAAAATTGAAAGTCCTGTATTAACAATCCGACGTAAGTTCATTATTTTGTCATGTAATTTGTTTATTTTATCAATACTTTAATTGCGTTTGTGAGCATAAGTTTTTTTTAACAGTCTTTCATGCAATTTTGAATCTATTTGTTTAATCACAAAAGTTTTTTTTAATAGTCTTTCATGCAATTCTGGATCTATTTGTTTAAAATGTGGAAGTATCACCTTCGAACATAAATACTTTGGTATTATATATGGACCGCTTGTACGCAGAAGGTAACAAGATGTTTATTTCAATGTCGATAAGAATAGAGAGTTTCCTAGTAATAATATATATCCAAATAACACATTAATAATTATTTGGATAGGAGTCCAAAAAATCTCCAAAATCTTCTCTCCATTCAGAACTATCGCGGTTGGTCTTAACCTCCAGACCAAACAAAAAATTGGGACAATTGAGGACAAAGTTTCTTTTTCATACATATTTTGATACTAAATACTTCTTTTAGATTGGAAAGTAACTTTCAAAGCTCATAAAGGCAGCAAATTAGATAAAACATTAAAATTCAAAAACATTGCGCAAAAACATAAAATAATAATAATAATAATAATAATAATGGAAAATTTTTAAGTGTCGTTGTGTATTTTAATGGAACCAATGAACACTTGCCACATCATTTTAGTTTGGTAGGCTTTTACCACATCTAAAGGTCCCTATCAATTTTCCAAGATCTAATGACTGAGATTAAATTAACGGAATGGTGCCTGCACGGACATGCCCACACTGACCACCTTCTCCTCCAAACAGGGGCGGAGCCAGGAATTATAAGTTACCCGGGCTAAAATTATAGCAAAAAATTATGATAAAAAATATTATTTTTAAGTGTTGGCCCACACCGTCGCCCCAAAAGCAGAGGTGTGGTGTAGCTAGCTAGGCTGATATGAACTACATGTTGCTATTACTTGCAACAACTATTTTTTGAAAATATATTTGTTTAACTAAAATATTTTTTGTAGTTTAAATTTAGGACTGGACTTAAAAAAGTCAATGACACATCATTATGTCAACAAGAGAATTAAAATTAAAAAGAGAAAAAAAGAACACTTATTAGGAATAAATTTAACTTATTGAACAATTATTTCTCAAATGTCAATGAACTAGTTAGACTAACATTATAAAAACTGTTCGATATCAATTTTAAATATATATATATATATATATATATATATATATATATCACGATTTTAGAAGAAAAAAAGGCTAATTTGGAGAAAGATGTCATCTTTGAGGATGAACTAGTTGAAAAAGAGAAGAACCCTAATTTTAAAAGAAATGAAAAGCTGGGAATTGAAGTGAAAGATCGTGGAATCTGAAAAAGTACAGGAAGAGGTATTGGTGGGTCGTCTTTTCAAGTGATTAGGATAATAAGTATTTTAATATGTATTTGGGCTGACTATTGTTATTTAGTGGTGTGGTGTTTATTGGTCCAAGAAGGAATTATTTAGCCCATTTGTAGGGTATCTTTGCTGATGTAATGTGAGAATTGATGTGGTCCCTAGTGCCCATGTGCACTATTTAAGTGACGAGAAACAAGGAGAAATGCAAGCAGATATTATTTAATTATTCTCTCTCCTTTTTGTTACTACTTTCTCCCTCCCCACTTATTTTCTTTCTCTTCTTATCTCCATTAATGTTCATTTACAGTCCTTTTAAGTTCAATACACAGAATTATCCATAAAAATACAGATTATTATATCAGGTCGCATCATATATATATATATGATTAAGATTATATAAGTTTTAATTATATATATACAATTTAAATTATATAATTTTTTAAGTATATAATATATATATATTATATATATATATACATGCTCCCATAAAGTCTACCCGGGCTAAAGCCCGGGTAGCAATCAACGTGCCTCCGCCCCTGCCTCCAAAGCACCAACTTCCTTGACGTTGAACTTATTAAGCAGAGTAATACTGGAGATAGTCGACATAGGAGTCACCACCAAATCATCCATCACCATGTAAGTCACCACTCCCTTCACGAACCCGCCTTCCGGACCAGACGGCACCCTTTTCACGACCGGTGGGGCCACGTAAGTCACTTCTCTTGACATGAAGTTGTTGCAGCTTGGACAGGTGGCATTTGGGCCATCACTAACATAGTTCATATAGCCGCCAACACCATAGTCATCGTCATCGTCATCGTCATCATAAAACCTATTATTACGAGTACAGCAGCAGCCATAGAACTTTTTCTGATCAGCACCCGAGGACGAGTCCTTGAGGGCCAATAGAGGAACAGCTGTGGAGCCAGGGACCGGGTAAGCCGGTTTGAGGAGTGTGTTTTTTGTCTGGTTCGGTTGGATATAGGTCTCGTTCAGCGTATGTACGCTCTCGTACAAGTTGGCTAACGACCCCACCATCTCTTCTTTTCCGACTAGGCTGATCAAGTTGGCGACCGGCAAAGAGAGTATGTAAAAGAGGAAATCGACCGTGTCTTTGCCGGCCTCCGCGAACAACACCCTTTTCGCTCGGCTGTCTATCAGTAGCTTCAGGCTTACTGAGGAATTTGCCATTTATGTTTGATGATGATGATAATATGTGTAATAAGTTGAATGTGAAGAGATTTATCTAGTACTATGTGATTATATATAGAGTTCTAATAAATGTTTCTTTTTTGGCGTTTGAAGTATTCAAGATGGCGTGCACCAAAGTTGTGCAACGTAAACGGTTAAAAATGGAGGTGCTGTCAGATGTTCGTTGGAAGCTGAAATATAATATCGTCGATTAATACTATTTAATTACTCCATATTGAAATTAATTTGGATCCTTTTTAACAGAGAGATGCATTATTCCTCCACATTGTTTCTTACTTACTGCACAAAAATTGGTATATTCCAACGGAAAATCCTATGATAAAATATTCCAATGAAAATCCTAACGGATATTTTAATGGTATACCTTTCGTTGGAATGGTTCCAACAAAAATATTCCGTTGAAACGTGTTTTTCATTGGAATTAGACGGAATTTGATGAAAATCTATGGTTTAGATTTTTCATTAGTCCATTTTACAGTTTTCTATGTTTTAGATTTTTTGTTAGTAAAACTAAATTAATTTTTTAACAAGAATAATTGTATGTGTTAGTTTACAATTTGTCTTCTTATCTTGTTGAAAAAGACAATTATTTGTGTTGTAATAGCATCATCAGAGATTCCATGTCATCAGTCAGCATGATGTATGGACTCCCACGTAGCCATGCATAAGACAGAAGGCAACTGTTTTGTATGTTTTGTTGTTTTTTGTGTGTTTTTAAGTATTTTATTTGTGTTCGTTTTATTTTATTTTACGCTTTTTCCCGGTCCATTTAGTCATTTTTGCTCGCTTATGTGTTTTCGTGTTGTTTTGGTGTCTTGTGCTTTTTATTTTTCATCTTATGATTTATTTCGTATAAATTTGCGTTTCGGTTAGTTGCCAAAAATTCGTAGGGAAACTTGTCGTAAAAGTTCCCGAAAAATTCCTGACCAATCGCCTCGGCAAGAGTCCCGAGACCTCGCTCTGCAGCTGCTCACTTACACTCCTGCACACGCACTGCGCACGGCCTCGGAGACCCGCATCTGTCCGCGCGCCTAAGGAAATCCAGCATTCGTGCCTGCGAAGCAGCTCGCGAGGTTGCGAGAGCCTTGACAGTGCCACGATCGCCCAGCGCTTGCCAGCCGCGCCCGCAAAGCCCAGCTCGCCTGTTTTGCGAGTGTCGCGCGCCTAGCTCCTGCCATTTGTGCCCACGAACGGAGACTCGCCCAGCTCGCGAGTTACCAACCATTTCGCACCAGCGAACGAAACCTCGCCCAGCTCGCGAGTGTTTTTCCCAGTGCCACCTGCAGTCCGCACGCACGCGCCCCGTGCTCTCCCTGCGCCAAGACCTAGCACAGCCCGCGCCCGCAAACCTGAACTCGCTTAGATCGCGAGTTTCCACTAGCAACCTGCACACTCACGACCTGGGCGAACTTGCCCGCGAAATCCACTTTTCCCGCGAGTGTTGCTCATTAAATGTGTATTTTTTAGTGTGTGTTTTAGCTTGAGTATAGATAGACTTGAGTTTGTATTTTGGAGAATTCCTTATTTGCAAGAATTTTCTTCTTATCTCTCTCTCTCTCTTCTTTCTCTAAGGCTCCAATACCCTATTTTTATTATATTATTTCTCCATCAACATTGCAACTTTCTGACTTATTTATTTGTGGATACACTAGAGACTTGGAGACTTTGTTTAAGGTCCAAAGTTTTTCTTGTCTTTACTTATTAGATTTTTGTAGGGCAAGATAGGAGCTTTCATGAGTAGATTGATCTATCATCCTTGTAGGCTAGGGTTTATGTGATTTTGTTGTTGATTGCGTGAGCGGGAATTAATCGCGTGCTTGATTAGTTAATTCTCGAGTGACTTGTTGTTGATTGCGTAAGCGGGAATTTATTGAGAGCTCGATTGGTTGATTCACGAGTGGCGATTGCTTGATTACATGTTCCCAAACCTATGAGTGTCTTCTTTCCATCTTGGCTCTTAGGGTACCTTGTTTTTTTCTCTTTATTTTCTTTTTTTTCTTGCAATTTGAGGTCTTGTTTGCTTTAAATTTCGAATCTTGCTTTCAAAATAGTTTAAAGTTGCTACCTTTAGTTCAATCCAAATTCCAAATCGCGAGTAGAGTGTTTAGGAGTTTTTATTTTTTTTTCGCATGTGAGTCAATCGTTGCTTGAATTCAAGGACGAACAACCTTCCTCAACAGACACGACCCGAGGTAGGAATTTATTCCGTACTCGGCTAATAAGTACAAAATAAAATGGCGCCGTTGCGGGGAAGGCGAGTAGGCCATTGTATTTAGACAATTGATTGACTTCTTATCCATATTTCTCTTGCTTTTTGTATAATTGCTCAATTTTGCGTGTTTCTTTTGCTTATTTTCTTGTTTCCCATTTCTATTGTTATTTGGTATTTCTTTGTAAATATTATGCCGTGTTTTTCGTGTTTTTATGTGTGCCCTCTATTTGTTTGTGTTCTTGTGCGAGGTAATTTGCTTGAGTAGTTTCGATGGATCCATATGGCTATTCTTATGCCGAAAGCTCGTCTCGTGGATATCCCGAAAATTACCAAGAGGAGATGTACACACCGTATAGAGAGTCGCCCCGTTCGTATCTGAGCTATTCAAGTTCTTATTCTTATGACAGATACTCTACATCCCATGGGTATGACCCAAGCCATTCTTACCCGACATCTCAAGTCGAATTTTGGTTATCATGTTTCCGGTCACGACGAGCCGCCTTACTACAATCCTCCACCTCCGAACTACTACTATTCTCCACCTCCCGATTATTATGAAGAAGCACCTCCATCTTTGTCGACATGAGAAGCTTTTTCAAATCGTTTAGATGAGATTATGGATAAATTTGAGAAGTGCAATCAATCTTTTCGCGCTTCGATGATTCCCATGGCCGACAAAGAAGAAACCGAGTCCTATGCTCCATCCTCTCCATCATATGAGCACCAGTCGATTGGCCAACCTAGTACATCAAGGTCCAAAGTTTCATTTTCAACAAGGGTTGAGCCTACCGAATGTCACCGAGAGGTCTTGACGAGCACTCAAGAGGCACTTGCAAGCCTTATGTCGATTGTTGAGTTGGAGTTGTATACCTATTCCATCCTTTTTTCAAGCGACACTTGCAAAGTTCGACACCACCGTAGTTGCTTTTCTCGACTTCGATGCATCTCATACACTGCTTGGGAGATATTGTTCTCTATCGACGAGGATTAGTCGAGAGAGTACTCGGTTAGAGGGCGAGTTTCGAGTTATGGTGTTATGGTGGATCTGTTTGCCTTCTTGAAAGAAATGGGTCTCACTCACTTTTATGATGGCAAAAGGCTCTTAGACTGGTTATGTTTTCCTCTGTTGTGATACTGATATTTCTTGGAAGTCGGTTAAGCAGTCCATGCTTACTACATCTTCAAACCACTCAGAGATAATTTCTTTATACGAGACGTGACGAGAATGTGCATGGTTAAGATCTTTAATCCAACATATCCGTGGGTCATGTGGAATTAAAAATGATACAACCCCCATTGTCCTTTATGACGGTAATGCAGTTTGTGTTTTTACAAATGAGTAGTGAGTATGTTAAAGGAAGCATGACAAAACACATCGCTCCTAAATTCTTTTACCCACATGAGCTCCAAAAAAATAGTGAGATTATTGTACAACAAGTACAATCTAGCGAGAATTTGACAGACCTATTCACCAAATCTCTTCCTACATATACTTTTAAAAAAAATATTTATGGTATTGATATGCGTAAAATGGAAAGACAATGTCTTCAGTGGGAGAGACAAACTCAAAATAATCCCCAAGATTAGGTCCTGAAGACCACACGTTTGTCTCTTTTTTCCTTAACTAAGTTTTTCCCATTGGGTTCATTAGTTAGAAGTTTTTAATGAGACAACTTATAAAACACATGAATATTTATAAATCATGTACACTTTTTCCCTTGACTAATTTTTTTTTTTTCTCCTGCCGAGTTTTTATTAGCAATGTTTTTAATGAGACATGTAATAATGTCCAAGTGAAAGTGTAATAAATATATTATTGTGTGCAACATATTACTAAAATACTTAATGAGCGTGAAGCCCATTAGGTAAGAAATTAATTCTTATCATAAATTGAACGTCAATTACATTTAATGTGTTATATTTTCTATCGTATAAATTTTTTTCATAATAATAGTTGCACACAATATTATATATAATGCATTTTTTTTTTATACTTTTGGAGTCTTAGTTTTACTACAAGAAAATGAGAAAATTCCAACAAAAATTATAACAAATCTAACGATTTTCTTATGTTGATTTTAGAAAAATCTTGACTTTTGGTTTCTTAAATATATTTAACCTTATTGTGATTGCATAGATTTATTAAAATGTATTGTAAATGAGAAAGGTGATATATTATGTAAATTATAATTTGTAAATTGCAATGACATGTTATTTTGATGGTATATTTTTTCTATTAACTAAATAATGCTCCCAATATGAAATTATTTTGGATTTATCACTGCAATTATCTTTCCAATGGAACTTCTATTGAATTTTTGCATAATACCAATGACAATTTTTTCAACGATTGAAATATGTTCCAAAAAATAAATTCCAATAGAAATTCAGTTAATTAAAATATTTACATCCACTAAAGTTCATGTAATTTAATTTGAACTCTATTGGAATAGCCAATGAAAGCAACATATTCGTTGAAATTTTCAGGAGAATACCTTACCGTTAAATTTTTCATTGCAGTATAACAAAATTTTTGTAGTCCTCTCAAACATTATTTTTAATGTAGTATTTATTGAGTAATCGTGTTAAAAATTTTTCTATTAAAAATATATTAAACACGTGAACTTTTTTGTTATAATTTTTTTTTGCAGAAATCACTTATTATTTTATCTCAAGGTTATCTATTAATTTACCAATTGAGTTACATTTCTTACATATTAAATATTATATAATTAAAATATTTCTTGTTTTATCTGTTCAATATCATACTTATATATTAGATTAAAAACTATTATAGTAAATAAAAAAGTTATTTAAAATTAGAATAATAAAGATTTTTTTTCTTCTAATCTACATGTATAAATGTACAAATAAATATTGTCTATCACCTCAAAAAAGACATAATATATAGAATAGAATTTTTTCGATCATCTGCCTCATTATATATCAAATATTTGTATATCCTATATTATATTATATTTAATTAAAATTTTTTAATTAATAATTTAATTAAATATTTACAATTCATAAATTCATTAATAATATTGTCGAGTCAACTTTTGTTTATAAAATTTTTAAAAATATATTATTTTTATTGATTTGCTTATGTTGAATTGAAAAAAGTTATGTTTTCTTAATTATATATAGGGAGGATATAAGAATTCTTATATTTTTTATGTAGTATTTATTGAATAATTGTGTTTACATTTTTTTATTAAAAATATATTAAACACGTGAACTTTTTAGTTCCTATAATTTTATTTTTCAGAAATCACTCATTATTTTATCCCAAGATTACCTATTAATTTACCAATTGAGTTACATTTCTTACATATTAAATATTATATAATTTAAATATTTTTTGTTTTATTTGTTCAATATGATAGTTATATATTATATTAAAAAACTAATATAGTAAATAAAAAGTTATTTAAAATTAGAATAATAAAGTTTTTTTTTTCTAATCTACATGTATAAATGTACAAATAACTATTGTCTATCACCTCAAATTTACACATAAAATTAATTAGAACAAAAAAGTAACAAGCGTTTAACAACTCAGTTCGATTACATCGATAAGTATATTTTTAGAAGGTTTATATTTAGTTATATTAATTATATTATTTTTGTTTATTAGTTTCTTTTATTTTTATTAGTACGTGTCACAACTTAGTTATTGTTCATTTTATTTCTTATATTTAATATTTTTTTTGAACTTTATAATCGGGGAAATTCTACTAGAAGGCCTAACTTTTATTATTTGTATTAATCTAAGGCCTGAATTTTTTACTTTTTCAATAGAAGGCTTATATTTTAGGTTATTCTCACTTTAAGGC